TTTTTTGAATGTGTTGAAGGCGAGATCACTGACAGAATGGATACTGCACACGCGTCTTGGATTATATCAATCTATGATAATCGTATTACAATTTATATATGGTGAAGAACATTCCGCGGCGCCGTGGAGAGGAATGAACGCGCGTCTGGTAAGGCTTTATGAGCGTGTGTTTGCGTGTTTTTGATATTGTAAGCATTGTTCGGAAACTTGATAGCGTGGCTAGCATTATGATACACTGTTTACTGACAGAAAAGTACAGTACATTATTTCAGTGAATATACAGTGAATATACATGTATTGTTACAGTGGTGTGTGGATGAATTGATATGTGTTTGTTTGACGCTCTGAATGTTACAGCTAGCTGCCGGATAGCAAGTTAGCTCTGCTCTGGACCAGAGATGCTGTGTTTGTTGTCATGGAGAGATGCTGGATACAGGAGTGAGTCAACTGATGAGGTGAGAGATGCTGTGAAGCAGTATCCCAATACAGAATGCACATAAATGGAATGATATAAAGCTGGAGGATATGGATTCTATGTTAGAATGTGATAGACCAGATATATTTCATAATGTAGACAGTCTTGTGCATCCTGAAATAATTCAACTGATTGTAGAATAACACAATATGTGAAATTTGGTCCAATTCGCTTGTGCCATTTTGTATATTACTACTTAGAAAAACATAAAAATGAAACATAATTCAATTAATAATCAATTAAAGTGCTTATGGCACAGAGTAATGTAGGATTGTGGGGTTAATGTGTTTTATAAAGCCTGTTTTTGCAAAGGAAACTCACAATGACACATTTCGATGCAGAGATAGACATTCTGACTCGCTTCACAAATAATGTAGTAACTCCTGTTTAGAAGCTGTTATTTGAAAGATTCTTTTTTCTGGTACTTTTTGGCATCTAGTGGCATCAAACAAAGTAAATTGCAGAGAGTTGTGCCTAATAGAACCTGAATTACAGATTTTCAAAAAAATACTTAGTTTTAAAACTCCAAAAGCGCCTATGTTTTTTTTGTGTTTATAGTAATATTTGAAAAGTATATAATGTTATTTATAAAGAATTACACTCATATTTTGTAGTTCAAAGGGTTTTCTTTACAATGAAACCATTTTTTTTCATTTCCTCCATTGTATGTGTGCAGGGTAAACATTTGAATTTGAGTATGTTAAATTTAGGCGAAAATACCAAAAAACGCCCCGAGCTTAAGTGGTTAATGTCTTTAAAAAGGAGCTAGCCATGTATACAGAGGTTTTAAAAAATTAGTTGAAGTGATAAGGCCAAGAAATTATTTGATTTGTTTATTAAGTGTGATTTTGTTTAAACCCCTACATTGTTTATGGTTGAATGAATGTATTTTATTTCTAGTAGGCGTTGTTTTTCTGTTATAGTATGATTAATATGAATATCTCAGTCTGTGAGGACTTGAAGTTGTACTTACGTTAGCCTATATTGTTTGTTAATGTTGAAATGCAAAATAAAAACTACTCCTTTTCTGAGTAAAATTTCATCTTATATCGCTTCTGGACTTTAAATGAAAAGTTGTCCATCTCTAAACATACGTTAAATGAGGATTTATAGTATAGAGTTATTGTATTATTGCTCCCTACAGATAATACTCATGAGCGTGCTTTCTATAACGCCAATGTTTATAATCATAACACAATGTGCGCCTCCAGCTGTTAAATAAATCACTACAGTGTGGTGTTACTCGGGTAATGCCAAAAAACTTTTGTCGCCCAGTGAGCTGTCACACTTCATCATATCATGTTCATCATCGATTATAAATTAAAATGAAAAGCTTTAAATATCAGCAGAATTATTGAGAATAAAGAAAGTCGTGATGCAAAGCCAGAATGGAAGAAAAATACATCAATAAACTTTTATTCATTTTCTTTTTGAAGAATGTCTCATGTTGCTGTTCTTTTGTTTTGTTTTGATATAGTACAATATCTTTACACTTGTAATCTGTAAAAACATTCAGGAAGTGAGTATAAAAAAGGGCACCACCAAAATAATGACAGATTAGTTCACTCACACACACGCACGTATATCCTCTGACATTTACATAAATTGTATTCTCCCTCTATTAGTTTTTCCAAATATGTATACATATTCATTTATATATAAAATACATTTTAAAAGTGATGGGTAATTTCTGCTTAATATATGCCTGTTACGGTGTTCAATGGACTAGCAATTTTGTGGCAATTCTATGAAGATTAACATGTAAAAAGACAAAAGAAAAGAAAAAGCCTAAACAAATTCAATCTGCAACAGTCTTTCACAGAAAGACTCTGAAAAGGCAACAATGTCACACAACACTGCCCTGCCTTTAAGCAGAGAAGATGATGAGAAGCAAAAATCCTAACAAATATGATTGTACCTGAACGTCATGAGTGCTAGTGACGGCAACAATACAAAATAAATAAGACTAAGTCTAAATGTCACAGAGGGAAAATTGCAATCTTGATGCAAGCGTATGCGTGTGTTAGTACAGAATCAGCAATAAAAAAAGGCATTCTCCAAGATACCTCAAACAGAACACAAACGGTATCTGTGATTTCTTACAATTGTCTCTCCCTGCCATTATTTTGGAAAACATAAAGGGAAAAATAAAAACAGCGGGTGAGTCTTCATTGACCGCTATCCGAATTCATGTCCATGTTCACTCCGTGCTCTTCATATAACTGCAGTTTTGACCTCAGTTTCTACAGTGAGGTTACAGGTCAGGCTGTCCGTTCATTTCACCAAGATTCATCTTTGAATACCGATTCTCAGCCTTTTCAGGATCTACAATTTCATTATCAGTCCACTGCGAGCCAAGAAAAGGAGCTGATCGGCAGGTCTTTGAAAAACACACAGCAAAACAAACTCAAAATGCCATGCCTTTTATATATAAAAAAAACACAATGCCCAGAGAGACTGTTAAATATTTTCATATATTTTACACTATTCCACAGTTCTCAAAGGTTCAGGCAGCCGATGCACAGAGGAAAAAACCTCCTTCATCCTTTCCGGACTCCTGCAGAAGATCAGTATTGGTCACGCCTTTTCTTTGCCTTTTTTCCTCCACACACACACAAAAAAAACACATGTAAATTCAGGAGTACAACAGGCAAATGAAAATTGAAAGACATAAGACCAAGCACAAAAACGGTTGAGAATCACATCTATGCTCCTGGGTCCTTTGAGAAATAGAGGATAATCTTGTATAGAAGCTAAACCGGAAGTGAAAAAGAGTGAGGAGAAAAATGGAAGATGGCCTGTAAGCACATGGTACGTGAGAGCGAAATGGAGGGATGATGTAGGCTAGCTCCAGAGGCCAGCGTAGTTTCCGTGTAGGCCAGAACACAGGGGGCCGCCGGCCACGAAGAGTTTGGTGCCGGAGTCATCGTAGCAGTGTGTGTATACGGCGTTCGGGAAGGAGCGGACGTCGGAAAAGTAGCTTCTCCATGTTTCGTCGTGATTCTGTGGAGACATGAAGATAGAGAACCTGACTGGATTTTTTGCATTTATTTCAGCCTCAATCAAAATATAGTATAATACAGTAAAAACAGTAATATTGTGATATATTATTACAATTTAAAAGAACTGTATTTCTATTGTAATATATTTTAACTGTAATTTTTTTCTGTGATGGCAAAGCTGAATTTTCAGCATCATTACTTCAGTCTTCAGTGTCATATGATCCTTCAGAAATCATTCTAATATGCTGATTTGGTGGAAACATTTCTTATCAATGTTGAAACTGGTTGTGCTACGTAATATGTTTTGTGGAAAACGTGATAAAATATATATTTTACAGGATTCTTTGATGAATACAATGCATTTATATCTTTTGTAACATTACAAATGTCTTTACTGTCACTTTTGCATCTTCTCTGAATAAAAGCATTACTTTATTAAAACAAATCTTACTGACCCCAAAGTTTTGAACAGTAGTGCATAATATGTATAATGTCTAATAAGCAGGATAATGTACAGTCGGCTGTTCATTATCATAAAATAGCCCTAGACAAGAAAATCAAAACCCCAATGTGCAGAGGAGTTGTTAATTTTGCGATAATGAACAGGCTGACTGTACACTATCCCTTACATAGTTAAATTCTTCAAAGTTGTAACAAAGGGCAGCAACCTAAGTGGGTCAATTAAGCCAATCAAATAGTAGTTATGCTTCCGTGTGGACTCCTGATTAATGCAGCATACAGCATTTCTGTTTAATGAACTTCCATATGGTAAGCAGAGACTGATGCTGCAGGCAACCGACTGCTAGAGTAAGCACTCTGTAAAAGAGCTTATATATAGACTAATTAATGCAAAAGCCTGTCCAAAGATTTCATGGCAAAAATTAGGTAGGGGGTGTATACAGGAAAAGAAAAATGTACATGTACATCAAATGAGCATAATCAAGTTTCTGTTTGAGTATCAGATTTAGTTTAAAACAGAATTATAATGAATATAAACCGCTGTTCAATTAATACTTTTATTCAGCAATGATGCATTAGTTTGATTAAATGTGACAGAAAAGATAATAATGTTAAAAAGATTTCACCAGTTTTTATCTTGAAAAGAATAAATGTTTCTTCAGCACCAATTCAGCCCATTAGAATGATTTTTTGAAGGATCATGTGACACTGAAGACTGGAGTAATGGCTGTTGAAATTTCAGCTTTCCATCACATGAATAAATTACATTTTAAAATATATTACTACAAAACACAGTTAATTTGAAATTGTAATTATATTTTCCAATTTTACTGTGTTTTTAAGCAAATAAATGCTGCCTTGCTAAGCATAAGAGAGTTCTGAATGGCTGTATATATAAAATATACTTATAATAAAAAAAAATGAAGTAATTACTATACATTTATAAAGTGCTATAATGCTTATAAGATCAAATATAACATATATATATATTGTTCAAGGTCTCATCAATATGTAAAATTTCAGCAAGCACGTAGGGATGTGCGATATTGACAAAAAAAGATATCTCGATATTTTCTGGGATTTTATCGATAAGGGGAATTAGATGACATTTTGCTGAGTGTGTTATTGTGCTGATATGCTGATAGGTGATATCCTTAAGTTTTTGATATTCTATATATTCTGTGTGGTGGTCAGTTCACAGCAGTGATAGAAATTAATCTTTTCCAATAAGTTTAAATTGATTTTTACTAGGGATGCACGATATTAGATTTTTGCGATATCCGATATGCCGATAATTTTCAACTCATTTTGGCCGATAGCTGACTCCATATAATTATTTTTAATTTTGGTTAGTTTTTAACAAGAACTTATTTTTTTTTATTAAATAAACAATAATAAAGTTATTTTATAATGACAGTACATTGAAGATTTGAAAATAACTATAAATAAACTATATATTAATCACTGCATTTTTTTTCCCCAGAAAGATGCAGTGGTAACCTTAACATTTTATTTTAAGATTTAACATTTGTAGATGGTCTAAAGCAAAAGAGTTGTAAAAATTCTGAAAATCTTTTAGAGCTCATAATTTGTTTTAAAAAATCTAACATATTACACATTAATGAATAAATCAGTATATAAAATATTATTTAATTTAAGTGTCCTTTTTTATTTATTTATTTTTTTTGTTCATGTAAGCTATAGCTTCTGACCTTTAAATCAAAACATACTCATGATTTTATGGCATCAATTACTGCTTTATTTAATCAGAAACAGTCTAAATATTATTTGTGTATTTTGCTTTCATTTTATTAGAAGTAGGCCAACAGCGCCCCCTGCGGAATTAAAACTCCTTACCTAAAGGGCATTAGGACCCGGGGGAGGCTGCCGCTGCATGCGCTATTACTGTTTATTCTATCACACAGGAACGTATCAATGTGCATTCTCAGCTTAAATACAGCGATCCAAAACAGTGAATCTAATCACCATTCAGGCAAAACTTTGCTTCAAGAATGAGCCACAATGCTGACTTGATCTAATCGCTAGCACACCCTGAGCACATGTGAGTTGATGTATTCCTTTTATCGGCAAGACATATCTGCATTATTTTTCATATCGGGCTGATGCCGATATTTACATTTAAAGCCATCATCGGCCGTTTCCGATATTGGTCCGATAACATCGTGCATCCCTAATTTTTACCTTTTATGCGCATTTTACCTTTATAAAGCCATTTTTCTAAAAGTGTGCATCATCTTTTGAGCCAAATTCTTACATTTAATCAGTCAATTAGAATAATAAGACATTTGGGCTGTTACCAAGCAAATGAAATCAGTATCAACAAAATTCATCTTTGCAATGCAGAGGAAACACAGAAGCTGCATCTGAAAGGGAATTTAGATATATTTACACACTGTTTAAAGGGGTCATATGATGCTTTTTTAAAGATCATTATTTTGTGTATTTGGGGAGGGACATGGAATGCTTGAACCTGCAGTTACAAATGCATAAATAATGTTTTGATATTTTAGACATAAATCGTTGGATACTGACAATAGAAATTATTTTTTAAAAATAAAGACACTTTAAATGTGAAATTAAAACCGCCAGTAGGTGGCAGCAAGTCACTGTTAACAAGCGAGTCATTGCGATTGAACCGAATCATTTAAACGGGTGATTCATTCAGGAACGAAACACCATCATGTTGCTCAGAGAGGCAAAACAGTGCTGTGGCTGTGTTTAGAATTATTTTTGTTGGCAAAGCAGAGCAAAAACAGGCAATATGGTTTCTAAAACGTAAGTCTGTTAATATTAACTTCTTGTTTATATCACATATTTGTAATCATGCTGATTTTTGCAGAAATAAATGGCACTCTTCATGTGATATTGTTTAACTATATGAAATTATACAAATATGTACATTTTCTGCCCCCATATCTTGAATTTTGTGATCATTCTAAATGCAGTTTAACAGACTGAATCATGCAGTGAAAGAACACCCTCTAAATGCGCACACGCACTAGTCTAACCTACTAGACTTTGTAATGTATGCGTGCACTCTGCAGATGTTTTGTTTGGTTTTTGCGATATACTTGATAATGTCAAATCGCATATCAATAAAACAACAATGATATTATCACAAACAATATATATCGTACACCCCTACATGCAAGACAGAGAACCTGGGTCAAAAAAGGGTCAAAATGGACAATCTTACCAGCCATCCTCTCCCTGTGCTGAGTTTCAGGATGCCCTCTGCTGTGCGATTCCGGTACCCGCCGGGTGAGCTGGATGGGCCATCCAGAAAACGCTGGGCCCTGATATCGTAGAAGAGCAGGGAACCTTGGCCAGTGCCTACCGTCACTATGTGTTCATAGAAGCTCACAGAGCGAATACCTAAGAGAGAATTAACAAAACTGAGCACCAGTTTGCTTTGCAAATTACAACTTTTTAACTATCTTTGAAGGGGGAAAAAAACCATACCACTGCCACGCTCCCTGGAGCTCACGGATTTGATGTTCTGAGATGACTGCCGGGGGTCAAGGAAAGAAACGTGTGCCTGAGAGCCGACTGCATAAACAGACCAGTCCATACCGTATGCCAGACACACATTCTCCTTACAGTAAGGGAGTTTGGTAGAAAGCTCCTACATGGGAAAAATACCCATCAGACAATTGTAAACATCTACAAATATTGAGCTTGAAAAATATGAGAGAAAAATGCTGATAGTAGTAACTGTACCTTATACAGGTTGTCTTCTGCCTTCCACAGATGGAAATATCCATCTAAAGAAACAGCACCCAACTCCTTATGGATGAATGAAGGAGATAAAAGCAGAGAAACGGTGAGCTTGAATAACGCACAAAGCAATCAATTTTCAGTCACGAGTCAAGGACAGCGGCTAACCTTATGGCTGTTGTTGAAGGCCAGTGCGCGCACTTTGCAGTTGTAGGGGTGGGTGTACTCTTTCGGGATGTCCTTGAGAGCACGGTGAGAGATGTGGGAGTAACAAGGAACACCTTCCACATTCTGACACTTCTCGGCCTGAGTCAGCACCTCCTCTGATATCTCCCACAGACCCATGGAACCATCACGAGATCCTGCTCCAGTGAATAAAAGATTCATTCGTCTTTAATTGAACAGTAGAATCTGTACACCATGAACAACATCTAATTGTGCACAACACATAAGAGATAACGTATCATTAATCGCAAAATAAACCCCGAATGTGTAGTCAAGGGAAGTAGAAGGGCCTTGTATAGCATTTAACAGGATTATTTTGTAATAATAACTGACTGACTGTACATTATCCTGCTAATTACACAAATTCTTAAATAAATGAATGGACATGAAATGTTGTGATTTTAATTGATATGAGAAACAAGGACACTGGCTGTATTTCAGAGAAAGATGTGATACCATAACCCCTCATCCTAACAAGGCACAGGTTTAAAGCATCAGATTTTTTTGTCCTCAATGAAAGTGAAAATGTTTCATGCTTAAGTATGCAGCTATGTGTGACAGAAATGTGAATCAATGAGATTTTAGGATAAAAAATTATAATTTAAAATGTAATTCTCATTACTGTAATGCACTAATGAAAACAATCACGTCCACACATTTTTTTTCTTTATTTAAATCAGAATAAATTTCGAATTTTCTATACTGTATATGCATGTATAAAAAAATTATAACAAATAAAAAAAAGTATGAGTCACTTTCACATTACTTTATTGAGAACTGTATTGAAAATACTGCTAAACTGTAATGAAAATAATCTCAAACATCTTTAATGTTCCTAAACAGGGCCCCATTTTCTTTATACAAAACTTACTTTCCATTTCTTTTCTCTCTTTGCTCTTGGGGTGAAATATAACACTGGCAATTCTTGACAGGTTTCTTTTGAGAACTGTATTGAAAATACTGCTGAACTGTAATGAAAATAATCTCAAACATCTTTAATGTTCCTAAACAGGGCCCCATTTTCTTTATACAAAACTTACTTTCCATTTCTTTTCTCTCTTTGCTCTTGGGGTGAAATATAACACTGGCAATTCTTGACAGGTTTCTTGAAATGTGCACTAGCACTTAATGTGTTAGCACACAGTGTTAAAAACTCAAAACTGGATCTGCAAGCTTCTTACCTGAGACTGCCATGGTGTCACTGATCCACGCAATGGAGAATATCCAGTCATTGTGTCCATCCTGTCAGAAATACAGAACCAATTTGAGTCTAGAGAAATACTTCATCAGTGCATACCAGAATTGTTTTCATTGTGTTAGCCAAAGCTAGCCACTAAGAGCACTTGAGCCCTATGAAGCCAAAGGCTGAGGCCACTAAACCACTTGACATTTACACTACTTGCACAACTAGAAAGAAAGCAAAGGCTGAACTCACATCCCCGACGCAGACAGGGTCAAGAGTGGGAAGTCTGTACACTGCCAGGCTGTTGGGGTTGTCTCCTCCAGTGGCCAACAATGTACGAGAGGGGTTCAGCTCAATGGCGTGGATGCCACATCCCTGCTGGACATCTAGACCGCCGACTGATCCTGGATTGTGGAAGTGGAAATTGCCTCCCACTCCACTCAAACCCTGGGAAACCTCTGCCCTTCCCTCTCTGTCTTTCAGCATGGGTATCCTGGTTATCTGTCCCGAGAGGACGTCCACCACAAATAGCTAAGAAATCATAAAGAAAAACAAGATTAGTAAAGTAATCTAAAAGAGGATTGCAACTAAGAGATAATAAATATATCTCACCGTGTTGCATTTGGTCCCGCATACCACCTGCCTGTGGTTGAGCCATTGGGAAGCGAACACCTTGTTAAGGCGGCCGAGGGAGAACTCTCTCTCTCTGAGGATTCCTGGGATGCGTCCGGCAGCGAATCCGCGCAGACTCCGCTGGAAGCTCCACTCATGCTGCTGCTGCGGGCGGAACTCCCTTCCTCTCACAGAGCACACCACCGACCGCCGGCTCTGCCACCAGGGCTGGGCATGACGCGCTGAGCTGGACACGCGGGCACGCTTAATTGCAGACTGACACCAGTCAAACTGACAGAGGGACAAAAAGGAGTGAGTCGACCATATAAACAATCTAAACGAAAACAAAGTACGTTCATAAATGTTCTTTATCATACAAGATTTAATTGCATGCCATTTTAAAGAAATGCAAATACTTGCAACAAAGTGTAATAGCATTTAATGTCTGTACCTGATAATTATCTATCTATCCATCTATCTATCAATCATTTTAGGCCATATCAGCATCAAAGGCTATATTCATGGAAAAACTCTACAATAATATAAAATTATCTTAAAATAATCTTAACTACACTTCAGTGAATTGTATCCAACAATTTAACAATATTAGTTTTACAAACAAATAAAATAAATAAATAAAAATAACAATTACATACAAAATTGATATTTGATAATTCTCATATTTTTTCAGGAGAAACTTTTTTTAATACCCATTAATGCACTTTGAGTAAAAATGTTTATACTTTGTCTAAATAATTTAAAAATAAAACACTAAAAAATAAAATTAATAACTTTAAATGCTACAAATAAATTAAAGCATCACAACATTATAATGCACATCATGAAAATAGATATTACTTTGAAAGTTTTCAAAAAAAAAAAATGAATATGTTTAAAACAATAACTTTAAGTGAACATTAAGTGAATCCTTTCCATAAAACTTGAGGAAGAGTTTGTTCACTTAAACCCTAATTTTACTTCACAAAACTGTTCTTTGTTAGTGAATTGCACATCTCTTTCTCAAACTGATTATATAACATTTTCAAACAGAAACCCTAAATTATGAACACAATCTCATCTGGTTTTAGGTGGCTTCCTTGCAATCCAGCACTGTGTAGGCACTTTTAAAAACAGCTTGCATTTGAAGAAAAACACCTGGTGGCATTGCAAATTCATCACCTCACCCTGCTAACAACCTTCTATACAATCAAACACAATAAATTATGGCAAAACTGCCAAATGACAAAAGTGAGGGCATCCATCTGATGCTAACGCCAGCTGGCAGACAAAGCGATTCTGTGCTCCCAGCGAGCATCGACAAATCAAATATAGCCATGACACAGTCGAGTAAAACCAACGGCTTGAAGTATATCAGCTCCTGTGGGCCCAACAATCTGTGTGAGAGATTGAGACTCATTCATTTTAATGCTTATTCTCGCTAAACAGCACTGACATCATCATGCTTATAATCAAAACATCATCACCCATATAAACAACTCTTGCTGAAATTACATCATCTGTCCAGAGCGAGAGGAGTAACACACTCCTAGTCATAAACACTGATGTATCTCTACTACAGTAAAGCGCTTCCAATCCCCCTCCAGGCCAGTAGACATCAGCCATATCTGACTGACCCAGATCCTAACGGCCAAGTAGGCCAGGATCTTAGTCAATACACGACCACCTTCTCACACAGAGAAAAAAATGTTCAGGGGTTGTGGGAAGGATCCTGCAAGGATCAGCAATAACATTCAAACAGTAAAAAATAAACTACAAAAAAAATCTCATGGGAGATATAGTCTCTATAGTCCCGCCTGCAAACTCACACCATTGGTTGATGCCCTGTTGTGTTGGTCGGGATGCTCAAACAAACATTTCGGAGGAATAAACCTGCAAATGGTGGTCACTGGTCTCTGCATATTAAGCTGTGACATGAGAAAGTATTGAAGCATGAAATCTTTTCTTTAAATTATATAGGCTTTATATATATAAAAATATAGCCTAGGCACAAAAAGCATTTGAAAATAACAAACAAGCTGAATATCAATTTTGTAGGGCTATAATAAAATTGTTATTAGAATATAACTGTAATTGATATATTAATTAATAATTAATGATTTATTTCTAAGTGTCACCTGAAAAATTTAAATAAACACAGTGAGATGAACATTTAGTCTAGACATACACAACCATTCCCATTGTCAGGCCTCATTATTATCACAAACATTAACTTTTGAGGCCTATGATATCAGTGCGTTGTTTTTATTGATTTTCACTTTTAGATTTGGCTGTCACACAGGGATACGTCCAGAGCTGACCCATGATATCCAAAATAAATCTTCAACGAAGCCAAATAAGGAAAGCAAGTGATCTTCCAAGCAGTGTGTTGCACTGAAGACCACCGGCCCCCATATGAGAACTCTATCCAGTCCTGTGTATCCTATTTAACACATCTACTTCACCTACAAGGCCATAATAAGATATTGCTCACTGACTCTTGAGTACTTGGACAAAGAAATATCCTGCTTCTTCTATTTTCCCATAATATGTGTACTGTTACTGGCCAATCACTCAATATGGAGTCAGTACTGACAGTAATGTGTCTGATATTCATCATAAATTTTGACATAAATACCATTTACTTCAATAAATCAATCATTTAAGACTATGTGGTAATAATAGAACCTACATGAAAAAACAAGGAAAATACAAGCAAAATGATTGAAAATTATAAATAATAACATCACAATAACAGAAATTCGCCTGCACCTTTATGACCTTGTTGTACTCATAGCAGGTGAAATATAGAAAGAGGACCTTCAGGATGAAGGCGGTCTGTGATATTGCCTGATTTTATAAATATCTGACGGTTTTGACAAAGAGTACAGACACAGCTGTGAGAAGTAGCTAAAATGAACCTCTTCCATCTGTATTATTTTGTTTGAAATACATTTAATTTATATAAGATCTATAAATCTGAGGAAAGGTGGTTTTTAGGATGACAATTTAATATCACTAAGAGAAAACGAAATAAATTGATACATATTTTAAGAACACTATAGTGATCATATATGAATGCTGTTTAGAACTAATGTATAACATGTTTTGTCTCATATCAAGAATCATTGAGCAGCTGCAAAAGCCACATTGTGCTATTAATATTTCTCATCTTAACAATGAAAAATAATGTAGAAGTGTAGCAGATCTCAGTCCTACCGGACGTCTAACCAGCTTATACTGTCTGGCTCTTGCTGGAGAATCATTATTCTATAATCTAGAGCAGGATTAAGACGTACTCAAACAAAACTCACAACCTTAATGTTCAAGAAAACTGATAAATGATTACACATTAATAAACAAACCAGCTCACCAACGCCAAATCAACAATGTCAACAACTAAGTTAACAACCCCACCATTAGCCTTTAGCCAGCAGACTGGTGCTAACATTAGACTGCAATCTTTTCCTGTTTGTAAACTGTCACATTTCGAGCTTGTGTTTCTGTTTCCTATGATTCATGGATGTTGTTTCATATAAAACGAGAGGTTTAGCATATGGCTGCAAGCTGTTTTTGTTAGGTATATGAGAGGTTTGTTGTTTACCTGTTGTTCCTTGGGCTCCTCTGCTTTTCTTTTCCTGCTAACTGTTTTTCTCGCCATAGCCCGACACGCACAGGTCCCTCACCCACATGGAGGGCAGCAGCGACGCTGGGAAGTGGGTCATATAATGGCGATGGGGTTGTTTCGGCGGCCTCTGGGCTGGTGAAGCGGCGCGACTAATCGAATCCAGCCGAGTCGAGTCGGACGGTTCTAAATCGAATAACCGTCCGATTCCGTTGCAGTGGCCGATCACCGATCCGTTGGATTTAGGTCGTTTTTAGGGCAGGCTTGTTTGGTTTTCGTCCGTGTGGAGGAGCTACAAGGGTACTGCTGCCCCTCCCCTGCACCGAGCTCACTTTCCTTCTATCTTCTTTCTCTGTCTCTGTCCGTCGTTCTCCAGACAAAACGCGTCATCCGACAACGAACAGCGCCGCGCGCAGCCGCAATCCAGTCAAACATCAACAAAAACAAGGTCAAACGTACGCGTGCGCACGACCTTTTCACGTTCTATGGCTCGCGATTCTTTAATGATTTGTGCTGCTGTATTCCTTTGTACAATTTGGTGTCTTTTAAAGTCCATAAAATACGTTACGGCATTTATAATGCACAATTTCTCCTGATTGTATTTATAATTGGCTGACTTTTTAATAATTGTAATTATTTAAATAAATATTACACAGCGTGGTCATACAACTTAAATTCAACGTGTTTAATTTGAAAAACAAACAAATCAACATTACGTAAATGTATACATTAACGGTAGTTATGTTATTTAATCTTAGTAGAATTTTGTTTATTAGATTATAGCTATTTAGGCTGTATTGTAATATTCTATAAGTTATAACTTTACTCAATTTACACACAAAGAAATTAAAAAACAACATTTATTGTTAAGGTAACTTAAAATCATTTTTATGCTAATTTAATTTCTTGTTTTTTCTTTTGATTTCAGGGTGACATTGATTTCCAGACATCTACATGAGATCCACTCGACTCATTACAGTTTAAATGAGATTATTTTGACACAACACTGGTGAAATTATATTGCACATGGAAAGTGAGCTTAAAGAGGCTGTTTTTGTAACTATAATGGTGAAAATTCAGAAAACAAAAAATAAAAAGCAAAATAATAATGCACGTCTGGCTGCTAAATAATGAAACATTTATTTATGAATGGCCAGATGAGCTACCCAGTAACCTACATGTGCTCCCTGGGCCAAGGAACATCTCTGTCATATGTGATTCCTATCATTTATCCCATCTCAGAGGAAAGTGCTTAATAGGGCTTAAGGTTTTTAGTATTGCGTTATACCTAAAGGCTGCTGTCAAATGGGGCATTAAACAAAATCTACACCTCAACCTAAAAGCATTGGTATGATCAAAATTCAAAATGATAATAATAATTTCTTAGTTTTTTGAGGTTGAATATGACCTGGCCTGGATAATCAGAGGTCAAACGTCAGTAACAGAAAAATATGAGGTTAGACATTGGACCTTCTGAAGTTAATTTGTTATGTTAATTTGTAACATAAGTAAATTTCTTATACTGCAGAGTTCTGCTCATTTTCCTTCATTCCTCTGAGGAGGGAGCCAGTATCTCTTGTACTGAGCAAGTTGGTCGATCCATGAGGTAATGTGGAGATATTTGAACTGACATCAAGGTTTCTCTGGGGACCAAAGCTCTAAAAGGCCATTCAAACAGTTTCTAATGTGCCACAAGCATTCACAGTCTCGTCTTAAGATTATTCTATCGCACAACTATCAGGAACACTACCGTTCAAAGGTTTGGGGTTGGTTTTATAAATGTATTAATGATTTCTAAAAAGAAATCTCTTATGCTTACCAAGGTTGCATTTATTTGATAAAAAATACAGTAAAAACAGTAATATTGTGAACTATTATTACAATTTAATAGAACTGTTTTCAAGTTTAAAATATATTAAGATGTAATTTATTCTTGTGACGGCAAAGCTGAATTTTCAGCATCATTGCTCCAGTCTTTCAGTGTGTCATATGATCCTTTAGAAATCATTCTAATATGCTGATTTACTGCTCAAGAAACATCTTTAATAATTATCAATGTTGAAAACAGCTGCCGTTCAATATTTTTGTGGAAACAGTGACACGTTTTTCAGGATCCTTCGATGCATTTATTTAAGACAGAAATCTTTTCTAACATTCTAAAAATTTGAACTGTCACTTATAATCAATTAAAATGCATCCTTGCTTAACAGAAGAATTAATTCTTTCCAAAAAATCATCCTGCCCCCAAACTTTTGAGAAGTCCACGCATCTATAGTCTTTAGCTTTTTCAACAGTTTTCAGAATAAACCTCATATAAATGTGTTAACCTCATTACTGTGTTAAGTTTCTCAATTTCTTTATTACAGATGGAAACCGACAGTGTATCTTTACAGATCTTTAAATATGCTTATATTAACATCTGTGATTCAGTGTGCCTGTGCAGTATTTGCATGTCAATTTTTGAAAATGTGGCGGCATCGTTTAAATTTTGCAGTTCCAGCCAAACTTGCCCATTTCTCTTGCCAAATGTGTTCATTCCAGTGCAAAAAGCCAACTGGGCAAAAGTTTAATGCAGTATTTCTTTTCCCTGTGAACTTACATAATGATGATTAGTTCTGTTAAAGCAGTTCCTAATCAAAGAGCAAAGAAACACAATCTCAAAAAAGGACAAATGAAGAAAGATATAGTGTTTCCGCCTGTCGAACATATAAACAACGTATGAACAACAGCAGAGACAGAATAGAGAGTGGGCACTTCTGTGGGGTTTCTGTTCTGCCATGGGTTGTGTTTATGAGCGTTCAGGTTTCAGTTTCGAAAGCCTGTGTCCAGCAGCGGGAGATGGCAGCGTAATAGCTTCGAGTGTCACTATTCTGTCAGTGGGGCTCCGCTCGGTTCTGTTTCTCCAGCACCGCCCATTCTAGCCATGGCAATAGAGACACTAGCCAATGTCGATTCTCGGAGGAGGATTCGGCTCCTCCCACTCATCACCATTCTAAGATCACTTAACAGACATACAGCTGAGGAGGGATGAATGCACTGTTTGGTGGTGCCATCAATCCCTACCCCAAGAGGTATATCTTTATTAGGGTACAAAATCAGTCGTCTTGTCTAAGAGATAAGAGAATTCCATCCTTCCACAGCCAGGACCCCTCTGAGGGCTGGCTCAAGGAGGGGAGACTCTCGGGGCTCAGCTCGCAGCCGCTCGGGCCATCAGATCCTCTAGTGCCTTGTCCTGGTCATTATTGTGCACAAGCAGTACCTCTTTAATAGTGTCCCTCTCAAAGCCCATTTCTCCAAACCGAGACATCAGCTGCAGAAATTCCAAAGCCTGAGGAGAGAGAATGTAGCATAAGTACAAAAATTGCTTTCAAATTTGTATGACTTTTAATTGCGTGGAAAATGTAATGCAGAAAACAAAACAAAAAAAGTTTTTAATTCAAATATAGCACATCAAAACAAGTGACATCAAGTACACATGCAACTGTATATTCTAATTAGACAGTAGATTGTAATTCAGGCTGTGTGTGTATTTGTGGCTGCTAGAATTTACCCACCTTTTCCTCTGAACCCTGGTACATCTCCAAGCACTCCTCCACAGCAGTCGCATCAAAACCTCGATCGCACAGTCGACTGTGAGTAAACAGGTATTCCAGCACCTATGAATGAGACCAATGACATAAACAGTCTTGTTTACATAAACAAAAGTATCACAGACTTGCACTAAGAATACTCAGGCTAAAAAGTGACCTGTTCCACATTCTGCCCTTGTCTCTGCATGGCTTTGAGAACACCCTCATATGAATAACCCATGCCCACAATCGTCTCCACACACTGTCGTTCGCTGGGAGAGAGGCCGTGTAGGATCGCGGAAGCAGGTGGATGGTTAGTCACTGTGACCTGGTTTGACTGCAAAGATGTTATGGAGAAAATCAGTATAAATATTTTCAACCCAGGCTCATTGGAACAACATGCCTCCATCTACATTTTTGCAAAACTCCAATAAAGTTCCTATACATATTCATTGCAGTTTCCAACTCAAATGACCACTAGTGGCAGTTAAACACCAACAACTTTTATTCCTTTTCACACAAATTATGATTACGGGGCAGATCATTGATTAATAAAGACTTATTTTCATGCGATTATTTGCATAATACTATATTATGATCTTAAAACACTTCTTCCATAGTAAGTGCATATAGTTTGTCATTTTTGATGTATGCACCACATAAACAGCTCCATATGTATGGCTTTTCTGATGTAGTAAACTTGCTCTGTAGCTCACCTGGTACAGAATTGCAGTTGTGATGTGGAAAGAGTCCCATTAAACACAAGTCACACTTCAACCGTCATTTTACAAAGCTACAAGAATACTTTTTGTGCGCAAAGAAAACAATAATAACATAATTTATTAAACAATTCTTCTCCCCGAGTTACCGTCTTCCGTTGTCTACTGAACGTAAACAGCGCTGATTACGTTGATAACATTCTGGGGTACTCTCCAAATTGGTGGAAGACGGTAACTCGGGGAGAAGAATTACTGAATAAATTATGTTATTATTGTTTTCTTTGCGCAGAAAAAGTATTCTCGTAGTTTCGTAAAATTACGGTTGAACCCCTGATGTCACATGGACTATTTTACCGATGTCCTTGCTACGTTTCTGTGCGTTGATCGTGGTAATATCCTTGCTGTCTATGGGGGGGTCAGAGAGCTCTCAGATTCCATCAAAAATATCTTAATTTGTTTTCTGAAGATGAACAAAGGTCTTATAGGTTTGGAACGACATGAGGGTGAGTAATTAATGACAGAATTTAAATTTTTGGGTGAACTAACCCTTTAACCTTTTGGTGCCACTCACCAGATATTTCATTTCCAAATTGCTGCAATACATACAACACCCAACATAATAAATTGTTGCCAAATCCACATTAATCTGTTTTGAAATACACACTTTGTGCTACTCACTGAAAATTTCACTCTGAAACTGAGGCAAAACACAGAAGAAGCTATGCAAGATAATTTTGCAAAATGTCACCACAGACATGCTTTTCCAATGAGCATTAGCTATTTTACATGCTAACAATCAGCTCTGACAGGCAAATGTTTCCACCCATGTTACATTACCTGCTTCTGTGTCCCATTCTGAGGGAAGACAGGTTGCTCTTGTGGGAGTGTTGTGTTGGTATCTGATGCTGTTCTCTGCAGAGACGGTGGTGTGCCATTGGATAGGCTACGTGGTTGGCCTGCTGGATAAACGCTGAAAGACGGTTCCAAGGGGGAGTCTCCTGGGTCTGAAAGCTTGGGGAAAGTCAGTGAGCGAATGTTACATGGGCGGTCTGCATCAATCTGTCCATGGGGGGTCCCCACAACCCCACCCCGGTCCAAGTCCAGCAGTCCAACCAGTCCATTGGGTTTATGGAAGATTCCTGCTTTGGCCTGAAGAGGAGGCATATTACTAGGAGAAGTGGGGCGATGTTCTGCTGGAGGAAGCTGAGGCGGTGAAACGGACGACTGCGGTTGGCTCTGCAGAATATTCCGCAACTCCTCTTTGTCGTCCAGTGTTTTAAGCTCAAGTTTGTCAAAAGGGTCCTCCTCTCGCTCAAAGTCAGCTAAGTTCAAACTCTGTAGAGCCGGGTTGCTAGGTGCTGGTCGTGTCGGTCCAAAAGATGGGGCTGGGAGAGGCGTGAGAATTGCGTTATGCCGTAGGCCAGCTAAAACCGGGTTCAATGCTGGTGGGACAACGTCTTGCTCATCAGAAGGGCGTGCTTTCTTCCCCCCAACCAATCCAACATCTGCTTCCTGAGCAGCAGCCTGCCTTTCATTTTCAGAGTCCGTCCGGGCGGCTTCCGTTGCTCGAGCCTCACAATATCCTTGCTGTCTATGGGGGGTCAGAGAGCTCTCAGATTCCATCAAAAATATCTTAATTTGTGTTCTGAAGATGAACAAAGGTCTTATAGGTTTGGAACGACATGAGGGTGAGTAATTAATGACAGAATTTAAATTTTTGGGTGAACTAACCCTTTAACCTTTTGGTGCCACTCACCAGATATTTCATTTCCAAATTGCTGCAATACATACAACACCCAACATAATAAATTGTTGCCAAATCCACATTAATCTGTTTTGAAATACACACTTTGTGCTACTCACTGAAAATTTCACTCTGAAACTGAGGCAAAACACAGAAGAAGCTATGCAAGATAATTTTGCAAAATGTCACCACAGACATGCTTTTCCAATGAGCATTAGCTATTTTACATGCTAACAATCAGCTCTGACAGGCAAATGTTTCCACCCATGTTACATTACCTGCTTCTGTGTCCCATTCTGAGGGAAGACAGGTTGCTCTTGTGGGAGTGTTGTGTTGGTATCTGATGCTGTTCTCTGCAGAGACGGTGGTGTGCCATTGGATAGGCTACGTGGTTGGCCTGCTGGATAAACGCTGAAAGACGGTTCCAAGGGGGAGTCTCCTGGGTCTGAAAGCTTGGGGAAAGTCAGTGAGCGAATGTTACATGGGCGGTCTGCATCAATCTGTCCATGGGGGGTCCCCACAACCCCACCCCGGTCCAAGTCCAGCAGTCCAACCAGTCCATTGGGTTTATGGAAGATTCCTGCTTTGGCCTGAAGAGGAGGCATATTACTAGGAGAAGTGGGGCGATGTTCTGCTGGAGGAAGCTGAGGCGGTGAAACGGACGACTGCGGTTGGCTCTGCAGAATATTCCGCAACTCCTCTTTGTCGTCCAGTGTTTTAAGCTCAAGTTTGTCAAAAGGGTCCTCCTCTCGCTCAAAGTCAGCTAAGTTCAAACTCTGTAGAGCCGGGTTGCTAGGTGCTGGTCGTGTCGGTCCAAAAGATGGGGCTGGGAGAGGCGTGAGAATTGCGTTATGCCGTAGGCCAGCTAAAACCGGGTTCAATGCTGGTGGGACAACGTCTTGCTCATCAGAAGGGCGTGCTTTCTTCCCCCCAACCAATCCAACATCTGCTTCCTGAGCAGCAGCCTGCCTTTCATTTTCAGAGTCCGTCCGGGCGGCTTCCGTTGCTCGAGCCTCAGCAGCTCGCGCTTTGGCAAGTTCTTCCCCCCACTGAACACTCCGCCTCTCTAGATTAAAGTCATACTGAAGAAAAAAGCAAAGCGTTAATTATTTCTGACAAACATTTGTATAAGGGAAAGTTAAAGGGAAATTTGACTTACTTGCAGATCCGAAAGTATGGCATTACAATCAGACAAACAGAAGCCAATGGGAAGACCCACTTTTGAGGGACAGCGGAACTTCTCATTGAGCTTGAAAGGAACATCATCAAGGTAGCTGACGGGTCCTTGAACATCGAGTGAAGTAACAGAAGAACATGGAAAAAAAATATTTTAAAATGAGTTATTTATTTATTCTGTAGCCTATTTTTATTTTCGACAAATGATTGACTCACCATTGTTGTGGATATCTGATCCAGACTTCCTCGCAGCCATTTAGAGTAACTAAAGAAACAGACAAACAACATAAATTCATACAAACTGCAGTCAGTTACCTATTTTTTCCATCCCTACACTTTCCTCTACAGAAGTTTCCATTTTTGAACATAGCCTAAACATTACAATCAATATCCAAATCCTTCATAACTAACAAGCAAGGATTCAGATATCTTTTTAATCTGTCAAAATTGGTTGATAAATACAAGAAAGACAGAACTGTGTGTAAGATAACAACAGAATTGGTTGCTTGTCATTATGCCAAGTTATTTGTGTCACTATTGAAATATGTTATTTAAATAAACTTCATTGGCTAATATACGTGTGTAGTAATCTAACTATTGATCTTAATTCCATAAACCAAACTGAATCTGTCATAACCAAAAACATTACAGATATGACCAGTAATCTGTTTGACCTATATATAAACTACCAGTAAAATTCTGAATCTCTCTTTCCAACGCTGTATTTATTTGATTAAAAATATAGTAAAATCTGCAATATTATGAAATATGACTCCTAACCCTAACGTAATACATTTTAATATAATGTATTTTTAAAATGTTATTTCAGCAGCCATCACTCTACTCTAGTTGAAAAGACGATAATTTACTTGAAATAGAAATCTTTTGCAACATTATACTGTCTCTTTTCAAATATATAACATAGCTTCACAAATGTATTTAGCATACTTTTTGCATAAATTGTATGAAATGTATAGCATTATAATCCTAACAGTTAGACATTCCCAAAAGAAATATGGGAAAGCAACAAATAATAATAATAATTATTGTTTAATTTGTTTAAAAACATTTTAACAATGTTTTTTATTGTTGTCTAATGATGATTTTAAAAAAGTTAATAAAAATGTGTATGCATATTGGTAATCAGATACTTCTGAAAATTGATGAGAGAAAAACATTGGCAGATCACTAGAAAACACAGCAGTGTCCAACAGCATTAAATTACAAGCATTTCTTGGACTTTCTTAAAGTGAAACAGTAAACAGATAAGCTTCTACATTTACAGTAAGTTTACGACCTAAAACATACCAATAAAGTAAGCACAACTGATAATCTATGTGATGATAACTAGGGAACTAGCACAAAAGTATATCACATGCTGACAAATAGGCTGATAAAACCGCTTTTGAGGTCATTTCACCACCCACGATCTCTTACATAAAAAGCATAGCAGCTGATCAGGAAAAAGAATCATAACCAGTCTGTTAACTACATACAGCTAACAGATTTGTTGCGTAATAATAAAGACAACGAGAAATTAATTCAGACAGCAACCTAGATGAGTCCTATACCAGCTCAATTTCAACAATAAATCTTTAGATATAACTGTTACTGAAAAGACAGTCTTGCGACAAGTTGGTTTATTTTGAAACTGGATGATGATGATTAACGTTACACATATTTCTCCCTGGCTCCTTACCAAGCTTCTACGATTTTCTCCTTTTCTGCCAGTCATATCAATCAAATAACTAAAATATTTAGTTATTTATAAGACCTAAAACCAAAGATCTGGTACTTAAGAACTAAACAAGCACGGAAGTGAATGTAGACGTTTGGTTAAAAACAACTGTCTAGTTTTGTTTCAGTTCAGGTTAGCGAAGCGACCTAACAGGGCCCGACTTCCCCTGCCACCGCCCCTCAAACTGTCCCTGCGTGTCCCACCGGTGTCCTTACCAGTATCTGCTCTGTCTTCAGTCTCCAAATTGGTGTCTCACTTGTCCTTGGACATAAAAGCTCCGGTCGACGCTCTCAGACGAGGAGATTTACTGAAAACCGAGTATATTTCCTGCTTCATCGCGGAACGCCATCTTGGTTTGACCGCCTCCTTTGGTTTCTGTGTGACGGCATGCGTTGCACTAATAATTTTATTTCTGCTTTCTTTTCAATTTTAATCTTTTTTATTATTGTTTATTATCTTTCTTTTGTATTTTAATTAGTATTTACTTTTTTTATTTTGCCTATGTTTCTTTTTTGTTGAGGATATATTCTTATTACGTGTATTATAAATGCTTACTAAAATATTCTCATATATAACGCATATTTAAATAATTGTAATATAATATTTTCTGTATGTAATAGGTACTACCTATGTAGTAACACACATGTTGTGTATAGTTTTCCATGAGTTGACAAGTATTTACAGTCGAGTGTCCTGCGTCATGACGCACTGGCGTACAGACGTGAACAGGCACGCACTATGATAACCGGAAGCATCAATAGAGCGATTGAGAAACGGCGAAAAAAATCGTCACCTGTCGAATGCGTTCATATATCTCTCCTGCACTCCCATTAATCTCCATACCCCACTTCCATAACACCCATACCCTTTCGTTAATTCGCTGTCAAGTCGGTCTGGACGGATAAAGCAGAGCTGGCAGTGTAATTCTTTGCGCAAACGGTGCGTTATAGCCTCGCAGCAGAACAAATGTAAACAAGCAGCTGATCAGCTGTGCGGCCGAAGACGCGCAACGAAACGGCGTAATGACAGCGACCTGCAGGGTTTGACAAACATATTCTGCATCATATAAAGCGAAATTAGAGATTTATTTGCATGCTGTAGAGTTTTTATTAGACGTTAGGGCAGTACACGAGGACAACTCCCAACCAACCCATCGCCTTCACCTCCACTGCGGGCAGCAGCAGATACAGAACAAACGGCTTATTTATTTTTTTATTGATTAGAAGGGTGATAAATAGATTATTTGTCTTAACATCTGCTTGAAGATTGGATAACTTCACGCCTAACAGGAAAAGCAACAGGATTCGAGAAATAACAAAGGAAAAATAAGGTTAACAGTCCCTTCTGGGCCCCAAGGAATAAATAAATATCAGAAACGTATTAATATTTACATGAAGCTGGAACTTTAAGGCACCCAAACATCACATTTCCTGGGGAGCAGCACAGGTATGAATCTGTATGAACATGTTTTTATTTATCAAAATGTTGTATAGCTTTTGCATACAAACCTAGTTATACATTTGTACAGCATTTTTATGGGTTTTTTCTTTCATTTTGTAATTTCTTTTACCTCTCAACGGCCAAATAGCGTATATATATATATATATATATATATATATATATATATATATATATGAAGAGTTCCTTCAGAAATCAATATAATATGCCCATTTGCTGCTCTGGAAAAATTTCTTGTTATTATCAATGTTGAAAACATTTGTGCTGTTTAATATTTTTGTGTAAACGGTAATATATATATATATATATATATATATTATTCTCTGAAAAGAACTAAACTTGTTTTCATTGAATCCACAGTAAGGCTGAAAGATCAGGACTGTCATGGCACACCAGCAGATGCCGAGCTCTCAGAAGGCTCTGATGCTGGAACTGAAATCCCTGCAGGAGGAGCCAGTGGAAGGTTTCCGCATCACTCTGGTGGAGGAGTCGGACCTCTACAACTGGGAGGTGGCCATCTTTGGCCCTCCAAACACACTTTATGAAGGGGGCTACTTTAAGGTAAGCCTTGTGTGGATTTAAATTATGTTCTTGAATGCTTACCAATTGACTAGGTTGTTGTGAGTCAGACAAAGCAATTCAAGTCTGAATGATAATATTTAACTCTGAAGTATACCTCACATACTTGTTCTCCCATGTTTTGCACTCTCAAGTTCTTCTTTCCCCGGGTGGTGCGTTCCTTATACTCTAGATCTCTATTTTTAGCCTGGACAGATATTAATGACATCTCGATATGAGAGCTAAAAAGAGAAGGACAGTTCGTTTTAACCTTATTCCCTGTAGTCACGTATTCTCAGTGGCGTATTATTTATGAATTTAAGGTAGCTAAATTCAGTATGGCTGATTCATATATAAAAATGCAATTTTTGTTATGTTAAAATTCATTCTTCTGTCCCAGCTTAATAATTCACCCAAAAATGAAAATTTGCTGAAAATTTAGTCACCCCCAGGTTTTCCAATATGTAGATGAGTTTGTTTCTTCGTGGGAACAGATTTAGAGAAATTTACCATCACTTGCTCAGCAATGGATCGTCTGCAGTGAATGGGTGCCATCAGAATTAGAGTTCAAACAGCTGATAAAAACACACAATAATCCACAAGTAATCCACATGACTCCACTTCATTGTGAAGTGAAAAGCTGCATGCTTGTAAGAAAAAAAAAAATCCATCATTAAGGCTTTTTTAACTTCAAACACATCAGAAACCTGATGAAGAGTACATGATGTTGAGATTCATGAGGATTATGTTTATATGAACCCTTTTAGTTCCTTTCCATTTTGGGACTGATTTATAACGGCTCATTTACCAGCTATAATACGGCTCATATGCGAGCTAATAATGCTCAGTGTTTCACTCTGTCTCTTTCCCCAGGCCCATATAAAATTTCCTATTGACTACCCCTACTCTCCTCCGACCTTCCGATTCCTCACCAAGATGTGGCATCCAAACATCTATGAGGTGAAAATGCTTGTGTATGCCTGTTTAATGCATGTTTACTGAGCCACCAAACGGATTACAACAGCTTAAAGGGGTCATATGATGCTATTTTAAAGATCATTATTTGGTGTATTTGGTGTAACAGAATATGTTGACATGCTTTAATGTTCAAAAAACACATTATTTTTCAAATACTGTACATTATTGTAGGTCCTCTATGCCCCGCCTCTCTCAAACACGTCGTTTTCAACAAAGCCCCCTCCTTTGACAAGCGCAGTCTGCTCTGATTGGCCAGCTGACCCAGTGCATTGTGATTGGCTGAACACCACAAGCACGTAGGAAAACTTGAAATCACATCATATGACCCCTTTAAAACTTACATTAGTAATCATAACAATGCTGCCATTGTTGCTTAATGTACATTTCTCTACCCTAGAATGGCGACGTGTGTATTTCCATCCTCCATCCTCCTGTGGATGACCCTCAGAGCGGAGAGCTGCCCTCAGAGCGATGGAACCCCACACAGAATGTCAGGTATTCTGGTGGAAATACCCAGAATTTCACTCAAATAGGCTAAAGGCTGTTCTTTTAAACTTTCTGTAACCATTTCCACGAAAATATTAATCCGCACAACTGTTTTCAGTGTTGATCAGCATATTAGAATGATTTCTGAAGGATCATGTGACACTGAGGACTAGAGTAGTGATGCAGAAAATTCAGCTTTGCATCACAGGAATAAATTACATTTTTAAATGTATAAAACAGAAAACACTTATTTTAAATTGTTAATAATATTTCACAATTTTACTGTATTTTTGATCAAATATTTTTGCAGCTCTTTCAGCGTAAGAGAATTCTTTCAAAAACATTTAAAAAATCTTAAAGACCCCAAACCATTGAACGGCAGAGTAACGTGTGTGTTTGTCTGTAGAACAATCCTGCTGAGTGTGATCTCACTGCTGAATGAACCCAACACCTTTTCTCCTGCAAATGTGGATGCCTCGGTCATGTTTCGCAAGTGGAGGGACAGCAAAGGCAAGGACAAGGAATACGCAGAGATTATAAGGTACGACCACTTCATCATTTAAATGACTTCCATGAAAACACATACTCTGCTTTTTATATCAGATTACATTAAGTTTAAGGATCAGTCTGAAACTTTTTCTCCTGCTCTTTGACTTTTTAATATTAACAAGAATTGTCAATATTTTTATTTGATTCACCTCACAACATATAAAGTACAGATGCATATAATAAATGATTAATATATTATTAATGATGCTTGCTAACTAATCTGTCCTGCACTGTTTGTGCTACAGACATGATTAATTCTTCATAAATCAATAAAATATGTGTTGAGGAGACTCAAAATTCAACCTAATGATTTTTGCCCCTTGGTTGATAAAACGGATGTGAAAAAGTTCAATACACTTACTTTGAAATAAGGGAGCTAAGCCATATCTAGAGATCAGAATGTCATAGAGACTTGGCCATGTGTGTTTTTCTCTTAGTCTAGTAAGCATCCACACGGAACACTCCGGAATTTGCTTCTTCTTTCTGAAAAGAAGTTAAATATATTTATACATGTAGCTGTTACATTTGCAACTGTTAAAAGAAGCTGTGAAGCCTTAATTGTTTTGCAGAGATCCAGCAATGTGCCAACACAAAACTCACAACTGTAGCAACTGTATAGCAATTAGGGGTGTAACGATTCACTCGTTTTCTTGATGCATCGAATACAAACCGTGACGATGCAACGCATCGATCTTGAACATGGATTTTTGAATCGTGAATCGTCGATTTCGGACAGTAATCAATTTAAAATGGTAAGAATCGAATGAATCGCGATTTCTATAGCGATTCAATGCTTTCAAAATATATACACATTAAATTACTACAAGCACAAATTAATGGAGACCTTGAACAGTGTTCGTGCCCTCGCATCTCTCCTTCACGTGCTCCACTATTTACCGCCTTTGACTGTCACAGGATTGCGCTCGTGCTCCGTTCGTCTCACTGACACATTTTTTGAGCAGCTGATGTGTGATCTCTCCTTAGTACTCGTGGCCAGTAATGCTAAATTTAAGTAGTTTTACTTTTCTGTCGTTTTTCAATGGCTCTCGGTTATACCGACGAGTCGACGACTACCTGAGCAGTCGAAGGCTGCGCATTTATTGCATGGATGGTGCAAAAATGTAAGTGTCTAAAGCATACGCACAGTTCCATTGAATGATAAATGTGTTTTAACAATGTCGTTGAACCGAATGTACGAAGGAAACTGTTAAAATAACCACAGCATTAACAACAACAATAAATTACATTTTTAAATGTATAAAACAGAAAACACTTATTTTAAATTGTTAATAATATTTCACAATTTTACTGTATTTTTGATCAAATATTTTTGCAGCTCTTTCAGCGTAAGAGAATTCTTTCAAAAACATTTAAAAAATCTTAAAGACCCCAAACCATTGAACGGCAGAGTAACGTGTGTGTTTGTCTGTAGAACAATCCTGCTGAGTGTGATCTCACTGCTGAATGAACCCAACACCTTTTCTCCTGCAAATGTGGATGCCTCGGTCATGTTTCGCAAGTGGAGGGACAGCAAAGGCAAGGACAAGGAATACGCAGAGATTATAAGGTACGACCACTTCATCATTTAAATGACTTCCATGAAAACACATACTCTGCTTTTTATATCAGATTACATTAAGTTTAAGGATCAGTCTGAAACTTTTTCTCCTGCTCTTTGACTTTTTAATATTAACAAGAATTGTCAATATTTTTATTTGATTCACCTCACAACATATAAAGTACAGATGCATATAATAAATGATTAATATATTATTAATGATGCTTGCTAACTAATCTGTCCTGCACTGTTTGTGCTACAGACATGATTAATTCTTCATAAATCAATAAAATATGTGTTGAGGAGACTCAAAATTCAACCTAATGATTTTTGCCCCTTGGTTGATAAAACGGATGTGAAAAAGTTCAATACACTTACTTTGAAATAAGGGAGCTAAGCCATATCTAGAGATCAGAATGTCATAGAGACTTGGCCATGTGTGTTTTTCTCTTAGTCTAGTAAGCATCCACACGGAACACTCCGGAATTTGCTTCTTCTTTCTGAAAAGAAGTTAAATATATTTATACATGTAGCTGTTACATTTGCAACTGTTAAAAGAAGCTGTGAAGCCTTAATTGTTTTGCAGAGATCCAGCAATGTGCCAACACAAAACTCACAACTGTAGCAACTGTATAGCAATTAGGGGTGTAACGATTCACTCGTTTTCTTGATGCATCGAATACAAACCGTGACGATGCAACGCATCGATCTTGAACATGGATTTTTGAATCGTGAATCGTCGATTTCGGACAGTAATCAATTTAAAATGGTAAGAATCGAATGAATCGCGATTTCTATAGCGATTCAATGCTTTCAAAATATATACACATTAAATTACTACAAGCACAAATTAATGGAGACCTTGAACAGTGTTCGTGCCCTCGCATCTCTCCTTCACGTGCTCCACTATTTACCGCCTTTGACTGTCACAGGATTGCGCTCGTGCTCCGTTCGTCTCACTGACACATTTTTTGAGCAGCTGATGTGTGATCTCTCCTTAGTACTCGTGGCCAGTAATGCTAAATTTAAGTAGTTTTACTTTTCTGTCGTTTTTCAATGGCTCTCGGTTATACCGACGAGTCGACGACTACCTGAGCAGTCGAAGGCTGCGCATTTATTGCATGGATGGTGCAAAAATGTAAGTGTCTAAAGCATACGCACAGTTCCATTGAATGATAAATGTGTTTTAACAATGTCGTTGAACCGAATGTACGAAGGAAACTGTTAAAATAACCACAGCATTAACAACAACCTTGAAATAAGAGCGCGAAAGTAGCGTTCGTTGCTATAGCAAAGACATCGGGCGCGTTTTCTTTCAGAATCATCATTCGCTGATGGAGAGTAAAAGTTAAATAGCTACTATAGCATTTTATTTTATTAAAATGAAATAAAGAAGTGTTCGCACTGAAAGAGAAGTTATCTCGCGCTCATAGAACTTAAGACGTGCCAGGCTATATCTGCAGCTAAGCTGAATAAAAAGCAGAATGAACTGAAAAAACGTTAAGACAATAAACACAATAAATAAATACAATTTATGAATGATGCAGTGCTAATTGACATATCATTTATTACAGTACAGAAACTATGAAGTATAGTTTCTTCCTTAATCTGTGCAGAAACTTGTAATAATTGTTTTTAGTATATAAAACAATTAAAAAAATTGCCATTAGGAAAAAAATATAGATTACAAATGACTGATTATTGTCCAGCTGTGCATTTGATTTCTTATAGCTAATTCAAAGTAAGAGCTAAGAAAAGAATTCCTTGGAAAAAAATAAAAATAAAAATAATACATACATAAAATTATTGTATTTGACATTTCTGTCACTTCTGAAATGATGGCTACACCCCTGGTGTGACAAAATGTTAGCCTATACATAATACTTTTAAAGCTCTTTTTTAAAATCTTGGCTTACATAAATTTCTACATATGCCATGTCATGCCACAGCATCATTAAACTAGCATCTAACAATAGACAAAAGTGTTTTTTTTTTTCTCTAACCTATGGTTCTGTAACCATAAAGGCTGCTGTGTAATTTGCCCCCTGATTAAGCATTTAAAGAATATAGGGGAAGCATTTAAATAATCCTGTGAATGCACTTAAAGAATGCAGAATCGAAATGTCGTTGAACCGAATGTACGAAGGAAACTGTTAAAATAACCACAGCATTAACAACAACCTTGAAATAAGAGCGCGAAAGTAGCGTTCGTTGCTATAGCAAAGACATCGGGCGCGTTTTCTTTCAGAATCATCATTCGCTGATGGAGAGTAAAAGTTAAATAGCTACTATAGCATTTTATTTTATTAAAATGAAATAAAGAAGTGTTCGCACTGAAAGAGAAGTTATCTCGCGCTCATAGAACTTAAGACGTGCCAGGCTATATCTGCAGCTAAGCTGAATAAAAAGCAGAATGAACTGAAACGTTAACACAATAAATGAATAAAATTTATGAATGATGCAGTGCTAATGGACATATAATTTATTACAGTACAGAAACGATAGTATATTTTTTACCTTATTTTGTGCAGAAAATTTGAATAATTGTTTGTAGTATATAAAACAATCATAAAATTGCCATTAGGAAAACAAATTATAGATTACAAATGATTGATTATTCTGCAGCATTGTATTTGATTTCTTATAGCAAATTCAAAGTAAGATATAAGAAAATAATTCTTTGTAAAAAAAAAAAATAATAATAATACATAGGCTACATACATAAAATTATTGTATTTGACATTTCTGTCACTTCTGAAATGATGGCTACGCCCCTGGTGTGACAACATGTTAGCCTATACATAATACTTTTAAAGCTCTTTTTTAAAACCTTGGCTTACATAAATTTCTACATATGCCATGTCATGCCATAGCATCATTAAACTAGCATCTAACAATGCACAAAAGTGTTTAGTTTTTTTTTTCTCTAACCTTTAGTTCTCTAACCATAAAGGCTGCTGTGTAATTTGCCCCCTGACTAAACATTTAAAGAATTTAGGGGAAGCATTTAAATAATCCTGTGAATGCACTTAAATAATGCAGAATCGAATCGTTAATCGAATCCAATCTAATTTAATTGTGAATCGAATTGAATCGTTCTGAATTTGCAAAAATCGTTCGTGAATCGAATCGAAAACCTATGAATCATGAATCGAATCGAATCGCTGTCTACCCAAAGATTCACAGCCCTAATAGCAATGTTTCAACAACCACTCAGAACACCTTAGTAACAGCAGCAGCACCCTGGCAACCGCCCAGCACACCCAAGCATTGTGTACAACTTCTATATTCTTCAGGAAAAGTCAAAATTGGATTATACCCCTAAAGTTGGCTGAGATCTAGGTTAAACATTGACTAAGGCCAGATTTTAGCCCAACACACTTCCATTGCACCATCCCACTGAAGTTCAGGACATACTGCTCTGAGTGTCTTTATTTCCCTTGGGCAAGTAAACATTAGTGAAAAATGTTGAACTTTTCCCTTATTGACATTCTTTTCTAACAAAAAAAAGTCTCTTATGCTCACAAAGGCTATGTTTATTTGACCAAAATACAGTAAAAACATAAATATTGAGAAATATTATTGTGAATATTAATATTTAACATTGAGAAATATATTAAAATAACTTTTCAGCCGTCTTTAGTGTCACATGCTTCTTCAGAAACCATTCTAATATTTGATGCATACGAAACATTTCTTATTATTATGTTGAAAACATTTGTGCTGCTTAATATTTTTGTGGAAACAGTAATAAATGTATTTTTTTCAAGACTTATTTGAAATAGAACATATTGGTAAAATTAAAAATGCCTTCGCGGTCACTTTTGATCAAATGAATGCATCCTTGCTGGAAAAAGTATTTTAAAAAAGTTTTTTTTTTTTTTTTATCTGGTAGTATGTATATATATTAGTGCTGTCAATCGATTAAAAAAAATTAACGAATTAATCGCTTTTTTTTTTCTTCCAGAAATTAATCGCGATTAATTCCACCTAACATTAAAGTTTTTAAAAATACTTTTACATTGCAATAATTTCACATTCAATCTTCAAATTAATGTAGAAACAACATAAAGACGTTATATTTTTTTATATTTGTATAATGGCATCTTTTTTATGACTGAAGGCCAGTATCACTCTGATGTCTCTATGAAATTGTTTTTTCCCCTAATATTTAACCATTGATTAGCCATTCAACATTACAAAGCTATCAGTTTTTAACATTTATTAGACTACTTAAAATAACTTCTAATTTAAGTGAACTTAAAACAATCTTCACATAAACATAGACATTATAATGTCATATTTACCTGTGCCCTTCAGCAAGTTATCGAACAATAAATTCTAAATTAAATATAGATGAATACTTAAAGCTACAAAAGTTATTTATTTCCTCTTTTTTTCTTTTGATCATTGATTACCAGACATAACACCAGCTGGTTATTAGGTTTTTTTGTCTGCTGTCCCTTTAAGAGCTGCCGATGCTGAACGACGCGGATCTGACACACATCTCTACCTATTCTCACCCACTTCAGTTCTTAAAGGTCTCTAATGAGTTGAATCGGGTGTGTTAGATGAGGCAGACTGTGCTGGGCTGCTCCAGGACAGTTTGGAAAACCACTGCATTTCAGAGACATGTTTTTAAATGTGACTCATGCAACAAATACATACATGCAAAGTTTTAAGGCAGCTTTAATTGCCTTTTTGGTAACTTCATGACTTAACTGACGACATAACTACTACGACATTGCATGCTCGTAGTTTCTTTCGCGATTTCATATGAAATGATACAGGCTACAAGCGCGCGAGAGAGAGGTATTACTTTTGCAGCTGTTCCAAAAAGCCTTAACTGGTTTGCTGACTCCTCGGTCAAAATCGAGGGGTCGAGGGTATGTCCATGTAAACTACCCTCGTCCACTTGACGAAGTGGAACGCACTTCAAAATGGTGGCGTGGATTCCCCCCAAGGTTAAGTGCTTAGGGAAGTTCGAGAGCGCATGTCTAAACGTGAACTGGAACGCAGCCTTTGTCAAGCTGTTTTGAGATTTTTGAGCTGATTTTTCCAAAAGGTAATAACTAAAAAATGCCAGCATCCAAATTCACCTACTTCCCCTACCATTTAGTAGGCAAAAACAGTACAGAAGAGGGAGAAAAATAGACAAAAAAGTCAGAATTGCGAGATGTGAACAAAAGACTACATTTCGAGATAAAAACTCGCAAATCAGAGAAAAAAGTCAGAATTGGGAGATATAAACTTGGAATTCTGGTAAGAAAATTCTGAGTTGTGAGATTTAAATTCGTAATTGACCCTTCGCAAAGTGCTTGATTGTCAGGCGATCTGACCAATCATAACGCCAGCTTGTCCGACAAACAAATCAGACAGGAGTAGATTAATTTAGGTGGACTTAAACTTGAAAAATTGTGTGTATTGACATCTTTCCACAGTTGAAATAAAATACGTTCTGATGTTCATTCATGTTTATTTCATGCTATAACTTGTAAAGAGGAAGAGATGATCGGTTCATGTGCCACGACACATTAAAGAGCCACAAAACAGTATTTATTGTTTGAATTTCTTAAAAAAAAGACAAATTTTGAAAGCTGAGACCTTTTTCATACCAGAAATAACCTGCTCTGTCTTGTCTGTCGGCATGTTGTCAGTTTCCTCTTTTCTCTGCGATGTATTTTTCCACTGCGTGAGAACATGATGTGTAGTGTCAGAGCGGCATGGCTTGTCAGACATAGCAACAGTAACTAAGGAGGGCGGGTTTTTGCGAAGGGTCAATTGCAAGAATAAAAAAATTGTGAGATAAGAAGTTGCAGTTGCCTTTTTTATTATTTATTATATGGCGGAAACAAAAGAATGACTGTGAGATGTAAACTTAGAATTCAGAGAAAAAAGTCAAAATTGCGGAAAAAAACAGTCCAAATCGCAATATACAATGTCTTCAGAAGAGGAAAAGGCCAAAATCTAAGTTCTTCCTTATATCACTAAAGCTCTCATTTATGCTCCAAGCCATTGATTGTTGTGTGTTTCATAACCGAATGCAGTATGCCAGTTTGAATCAAGAGAGCCACACAGATTTGCAATGATATGAGGGTGAGTAAATAAATAAAACTTTAATTTGATCGAACTAACCCTTCAACCCACCCATGAGCTAGTTACTCCTGGTAAAATCACCAACAAATGAATGTTTTGTTCATTTCCCAGTTATAGTTTCTTCAGAACTGTCTTTACAGTATAGGGCTTCACCGATTCCACTATATGTACTTAAGATCCCTCTTAGAAAGGTAAGTATAAAATTTAATTTCGTCATTTTGACCAGCCATCCACCTCAGCAGGGTCACCTTCACAACTACATCCTCTTATGCGCAGCTCATACCCCCAAATCACCTGAGCTTTTTGAGCCATTAAATCACGGTGTCAGATTATATGGCACATGAAGGTGCTTTCAAGTGCTCAGCAACACTAGCATTAAAACTACTTCCAGCACACCTTCATTTCGCTGACCCAGAAACTATGATGAGACTGTTTAAGTCACTATGATGATGTCCCACGTTCAGCCCCTAATATTCCATCCACCAATTTTGGCTGAAGGTAATTATACTGTTATGCTTTTAAATGTACACATACTCTTGGTAAGTGATCACGTATGAGTGTCCAAAGCAGCTGTACCAAACCGTTTCCATTTCTCACCGATTTTGACCGGAAATCTTAGGAGTTTTTTTTTTTAAGTACGGGGTTTGAGATCAGTGACTGCTGAGGACATTTCGCTTATCAGTGTGAGCCCTCTCATCCCTGGTCTTATGCTTTTTTTGCGTTGGCAACGGTGCCGTCGTGGGCCGTAGCTTTCAAGAGCATGCATGTGTGTTTTAATGTGTTTTATATGATGTGTCAATCATCCGATGAGGCACGCGAATCCCTAAGGTCTCATTAATGGGGGTGGAAGCGTAGACGTTTATGCACATGGGGTCTCAGGTACACCTTTATTCCCACAAACCAGCCAAGGACACGGATGCTGATTCCTGGTCCTACAAAACCCCTCCAGAAGGGAGTGTGGATGTGAGGATCGTGAGGAAACGGTGCTCTCGTACTCTCCCGAGCATCATGAACTCACTGAACTATATAGAACTATCGTTCCCGGCTCAATCGCTCCCTTAAACTTTTGGACTACGGGCCAAAAGGGCTCAACAGGGACGATTAAAATCGATTAAAACGGACTGGATTTTACACGTTCAGCAAGAGACTCTCGGTGTATTGCACCCCTGTGCACAGTAAAACAACCAAGTTCATTTCAAAAAGTGTTGTGACATTAGTCGACAGTGGATTTGTCTTGAAGGATTTTATTATTTGTGTGTCATGAGTGTGTTTTTAATGTTTCATTAATGATTTTTTGTTTTTCACATGCTATTTTTTGACAGGATTTGGGGTCCTGAGTCAGATCAAAACAACCGAAGTCATTATTTGCTCTAAGTTCGATGCATTTCCTTTCTCTTGTAATGTTGTTAAAGGGAATATCATTCTAAATATTCACATAAGGAAGAATGGAGAACAGTAAGAATGACTCTAAATCGATACCTATTTCTATTCTAAACATAAGTATTTGAGTTTGGGAGGGATGGGGGTGTCCAGTATGATCATTTTAAGACTGTGCTTGTATGATCACAATACAATTCATTTTTGTTTGTGTGTATGTACAGGAGTTAATGCAATTAAACCATTAGACAAGACATTTAGAGGTGCTTTCAGTTAATGACGGTGTTGTTATCGTTGACTAAAACTACTAAAAAACATTGTTGTTAATTGAAATAAAACTAAAATAAAATGTAAACATTACATGACAAATTTAAACAATATTTTTGACATTTTTAAACTGAAGTTTAAGTAAAATTACTTACTGAAATAAAAATAAATTAAAACCATTTAGAAAATATTTAAAAAGAAACTAATAAAATGACAAAGCGCTTTAACATTCAAATTAAAAATATAAAAATAAAAGCTTGTTCTAAATATTAATAAAAACTATAATAGAATATAAGTAATACTAAAACAATCATCGATTCTTAAACCGTGTTTCTCATTTACTGGTTCCATTATAGTTAATCATTTAGTACAATCTGGATTATACAGGATTCATAGCAAAACAACTTGCATACAATTTATAAACTATTTTTGATGGACCCTATATTGCAACATTGAAAAACTGTACAGTATGTGGAAAAACTTGTGGAAAAGCGACAATGAGATTGGATAATGTGTGTGTGTGTGAGTGTGTGTGTGTGTATAGAAAAAAATTGAGTTGTATATGTTAATGTTGTCATAATCCACTTACAAGCCTTGTAGTCTATCAATTTCAAGTATTTCTGTCAGTGTCAGTGTGTGTTTTTTTTTTTATTGTGGGGCTTCTCAAAATGATTTTCCGTGATAATTAACAGTATGCCACAGATGACGTCATTACAGCTTACCTCGTATTGAACCCGGAACATTCTTTGAAATTAATGGCAGCTTTGTTGTACTTGTTGGTGGAGATTTAGAGGTTGTGCATTGGTCTTAACATTTTTAACTACTTGGAAGCAACCTTTTATGATTTCAAATTAAATTCTGCTTAGCAAGTAGAGACGCAAAAAGGATGCAAGTCAAATGTCTATTCCCACAGTCAAATTTCATACAGCACATCAGGTCCTCCTTTAAACCGTCATTAATTCAACATCCTAAAACAATTTTATAAAGATGAGAGCAAGCATTCAACTCTGTCAGTGTCTAAATGTCAAAACCAAGTGTAAATGTTACTGTTTGCCCTGTGTTTCTAGATACCGCTGTGCTGCTGTAAGTGTGTCCTGTAAGTCCTGGTATTTTGCCAGCTTGCAGGCTTCCTCTAGTTTGGCCCAGCGGTAATCCTGGTGTTCGTCTGAGAGAACGACCTGTGTGTTTGGGTCACGCAGCTCAGCCAACCAATAGAGGACCTCTTTGTCCTTTCCTCGGACCTGATAGTGCAACCTCTGCAAGAAGCCATCGACCATACGCAGGTGATCTTTACCTAAACCCGCTTCCTCCTGTGTCTCTCTCAAGGCGGTGGTGAAGTCGTCCTCTCCAGGGTCAACATGACCTTATGAGGGGAGGATAATGTTATTCTTTCAGTAACAATACTAAGAAATTGAAGATAGCCACATGTCTTCAACTGATTTGCTCCTGATAGGTCATATGACAACTACCAGTATTTGTGGCAGCAGTAGTTGTGATTTATTTATTTATTTATTATTAAATTTAGTTTATACATGCTTTACGACTCAATTTTCTGTGAGTAGAAATAAGCATTATGTTGAAAATAAGCCATTATATTCTTTTAAATTGGCAGGACTAAAGTGGTTCAAAAATAAATTGAGAGTTAAATGAGTTGAAGACAGGAAAAGCATCATAAGAAGCTGTGAGATGCACCTTTGGGTGGTGTCCAGTGATGTTCCCCGTAGGACGTCTGCAGCAGCAGGAACTCTATACTATCAGGGGGAGACTTCTGGACCAAATGCCGAAAAATGACAAATCCACATGCCCGCAATGCCATTACCTGGAAATACACAGCCTGGTAAAAAATACATGCAACTGTAACTGCCTATTATATTTTTTATCATATAACAGGTTTTACTGTACTTTTCTAAAAAACAAACAAAAAAAAAAATAGAATGATAAATGTGTCAAGTACAAACAAATGCTTAAGTCTTCATTAAACTGATACATAATTTGAGATGTTTGATTTATTTTGTAGATATATAATAATTAAAACATAAGTATATAATTAAATATATTTTATTCTGTTTTTAAAACAGAAAAAAACTATTTTGTATACAATTTTATGTTTATGTACAATTTTAATTGTTATTACATTTTTTATATTTTAACAACAGTTTTAGTTTAAAGATGTGTTGCTGCAATGGTTAAGAAGGCCTATAGTTTATATAATTTTGTATACATTTTATATGTACTATTATTTGGAGAATGTTTTGTTTAATATTTTTATTTAGTTTTTAATAATATAAAGCGTCTGGCAAAGCACATGCAACTGTAGAGGTTAAACTATGCTTTCTAAAAAGACATACACTTTCATATGCCATTTGCAAATACCTGAAACTACCATTTTATACTTCTGTTTTGCAGAAACCCTGCTGAGAAAAACCATCGTAGCTGCTCTTAGCAGGTCTGTCTGTTTGTTGGTTTTAAATAAGTTTCAAAGTCTACTTCACTGTCATTTTAGCACATCGCATGATAATTGATAAAAAAAAACGAAAGTGTTCCTTCAGGAAACAACAGTAGACGGTTTGGGAACACAACTTGCAAACCAGCTGGTTTAAGAGGGGTTTCCAACAGGAAATGTCAACTACAAGTCTTTTGAATGCGTTTTAAGTTGTTTAAATACAAATTGTGGGTTGGAAATACTAATTAATGAAACTGGACTCGCTTATGTGTAACATGCCTGTATTTCCGATTTCTAGACAAGATAGCAGGCTAACACTCATTAGCTGCTCTTAAGCTATAGGTTAGGATGAAATCATTTCACTTACGTCTAGCCGGTAATGATTCAATGTTCCTTTTTGTTTAGAATAGATGCGACATAACCTGGCACATTAATAAACGAATGGCGCATGGAAAAGAGTTTAGTTTAGTATGCAGGCTACTTTCTGTTTTGACGGCACAGCTGCGTAACTGCTGCGCAAAGATGACGTTAAAGAGTCCGCAGTGAGAGTCGCTCTCTGATTGGTTCCTTCAGTGGTAATTTAAATAATAGGAGTCTAGACACTTTATTGTTTATATAAAGTGTTATTTGATGAGTTGGACTTTGAATGTAAAAAATGCATTTAAAAATAATTGTTTTGGAATAATACGAGATTACTAAAGTCTCTTAGTCTTTGATATTACGCGCAATTCTGAAGGACAGATGGGCAAATTACAATAATATGGAACTTTTTAAAACCTCCTTCTGATATCAGAGAAATCGCATGTATTAATGTGTCAGTTAGTGGTGTGTCGTTCAGTTTTATACATTAAACAAAGATAATGTTTAACGCACGGAGAGGGTCCTGATCTGAGGGGCTGATAGGGCTGAAGGCAGCAGCCGGTGGGCTTGAGATAGCGCGATCCTCTGCAGACTAGAACAAACTTAACCCATTCTTGACGCACGTTTCACAAGATTCACAACGACCCGGAACAGGACAAGGTAACACTGCTTAAAATATTTGCTCAGCGATGTCCATTTATGTTGATATGTAAAGTTAAAAGGCTAATTTTAAAAGTTTAAAATGTGTAAAACATGTGTTAAATACTGGAGCATTTTGTCTTTAGTAAACTTATTTGATATGTGACAGAAGGCCTAGCTGGCCTGAGAAGGCGTAGCTGATTTATCTTATCATAATTGACTTTTTAGTATTATATTTGTAATTCCTTTAAAATAGAAAATACTGTTTTATATACAATTATATAGGTTATTATTAAATTTTAATTTTGTATATTTTATACTATTTGTAACTCGTTGGTTTATTCCCTATAAACTCTTATACAGACAATGGGTAACTGGACATATGAATGATATGACTTCTGTTTGAGGTTTATATAATTGTACAACATATATGTAAAGGTTATACAGTATGTATGTATACAACTTTTTTACAGTATATATCAGAAAGCATATTATATTTTGCATAATTAAAACAAAATTCTTTGATATATACGTTGAACATAAAAGAAGATTATATTTCTTATATTAACATATAAGAAGATAGATATTTTGAAGAATGTGGGTAACCAAACAGTCGCTGGTCCCCATTGACTTCCATGTATGGAAAAATAAAAAATACTATCAATGAAGTCGATAGGGACCAGAAACTGTTTAGTTACCAACATTCTTCAAAACAGCTTCTTTTGTGTTCAACAGAAGAAAGAAATTCATGGAACAACTCGAGGGTGAGTAAATGATGACAGAATTTTCATTTTTGGGATCTATCCCTTTAATTCCTACTAACATGTCTTACTTTCAAACAAACACCTGCTAAGTTTTAAGCTGAAGGACAAGAACAATACATTTGTGCCGGCAGCCGTATCACCCTGTAGCCCAAGACTGGTTACCCACTGAAGCTAGGGCTGAGCCTGGTCAGTACCTGGATGGGAGACCTCCTGGGAAAACTAGGTTGCTGCTGGAAGAGGTGTTAGTGAGGCCAGCAGGGGGTGCTCACCCTGTGGTCTGTGTGGGTCCTAACGCCCCAGTATAGTGACGGGGACACCATACTGTCAACAAGCACCGTCCTTCGGGTGAGATGTTAAACCGAGGTCCTGAGTCTCTGTGGTCATTAAAAATCCCAGGATGTCTTTCGAAAAGAGTAGAGGTGTGACCTCGGCACCCCATTGGCCTCTGATCATCATGGCCTCCTAACAATCCCCATATCTACTGATTGGCTTCTTCACTCTGTCTCCTCTCCACCAATAAGCTGGTGTGTGGTGGGCGTTCTGGCGCACTATGGCTGCCGTCGCATCATCCAGGTGGATGCTGCACACTGGTGGTGGATAAGGAGATACCCCCTGACAATGTAAAGCACTTTGAGTGCCTAGAAAAGCGCTATATAAAATGTAATTAATTATTATTATTATTATTTATGTAACTTAAGCACCTTCATTTAGGTGGATGATATTCATAAAACATATTTATATTTTCACAGAAGACATCATTAAAACCGCACTACATCCATGGATGAAAACAAGCCTCCTCGTATGTATTTTATCGGCAAGAAAGAAGATCTCGTTCAGGCCAAGAGAATGAATGTGACTCTGGATGGAAGAGACATTCTTATTATATATCATCAAAGAACTTTCTATGCACTGGACCTGCAGTGTTACCGTGAGTAGCATGAAAAGCATCTTTGCTTATTTCTCTGCACTAGAGGGAGACAAAGTAGCAGATTTAGCACTGTAACATTGCTGTTGCGGATGTGTGCCAAGTCCAATTCCAGAGGCAAAAGCCCAAAATCAAAAAGGCATTTGCTCGGGTCAGCTTAGTGCATATGTTTGCTAATGACACTTTTTTTTTTACAGATGCCGGCAGTAGTTTAGAGCCCGGAGATATTGAGGTAAAGCCATTTCTGCTGAAGCAGAACTCATTCAGTGATCCATAAATGCATTTGACACACATTGTTACCTCTCATGTGAACTCTGACCCGTTTAATGTTTCATGCACAGGAAATCAACAACAAGCTCTGTATTGTGTGCCCAAAGCACAAGTATAAGATCACTCTGGCTGAAGGTGAGGGGTTATACAAGGCCACCAACCCCGCAGAAAAAGTCCCTACTCCACGGTGGTATTCCAAAGGCATAAAGCAGAGAGTGCACAAAGTGACAGAAGTAGACGAAGACATCTTTGTGACGTTGTCCAACTGCCCTGGGTGGATTGAGTCAGACTATTATCAGACTGAGAAGGGCAGGGCAGAACTGAGAAAAGCACAGGAGTCGGAGGATGGAGAAGCAGACGTGAATGCAGATGAAGACGTTTAGTCTTGCAGCAACAGTGAGACTACAGCTTCAGGGATCCTAAGGGAACTGCATATATTAAGATTGATGATTTCAGAGTCAGTCGGCATGAATAAAACTGCGATTTGACATCATGAATCAAAATAATATCATAGCCCTTTTTTGTGACAGTGCCTGGATCTCTCTACATCTCCATGATTCACAGTGATGCCTGTCTTTCAGCTCGATTTGTTAGGTTTTGCAAAAATAAAATCCTAATATCTGAAAAAATCTGAAAAATGTGCATTCTTAAAAAAAGGATACATTATATATATATATATATATATATATATATATATATACACGTATTGAGCTAGTTGAGCTGAAATTTTTTTTTAAATGTTCACTTATTTAAAATAATTAAATATATGTAATATATAATATTATTATTTAAAGTAGTCACATTTTACATTCATGCATTTGGCAGATGCTTTTATTCAAAGCGACTTATGCTGCATTTCTCAGTGAGCAGCGAGCTCATATTGACATTGATATGTCTCCAATAATGTTTACTTTTGCATACATTTCCATGAAATACCAATTGATCCTTGCACAAACATTTAACTTGGCATTCGATTATTATTTCATAGATGAAATATTCTGAAGAGAGACAGTGACCATCAACTTCAAGCGTAGCAGAAAGAGTAAATGGCAAAGTGCCAGAAATGAGACCGTTGTGGCATACATCATATTTCTTTTTCAGATTATAAATCATTTGATTTCTTTGGCTCCTGTGTGCTGAGAAATCCATCAAAATTGTGTAATTATATGAGAGCAAGATTATTTGATGAATGGAAAGTTCAAAAGACGCATGTATTTTAAAAAAGTTACATTATAATTGTCTTTACTGCCACATTTGATCAATTTAATGCGATCTTGCTGAATAAAAGTATTCATTTCTTTTTTTTTTGATTGGTATTTATTAATTTGTCATAAAATAAGGTCCTAATCAGTTGTTGTGATCATGTGTGACTGCATTGTGCCGAGTATGTGAAATTTATTAAACGATCCAAAATGATTGATTATGAGTCTATTTAGCTGCATGAGAGCAGAATCTCTCAAACGGTGCATGCTTGTTTAACCCTGGTTTATCTCTTACACTTGGAACAAAGAAAGGACAAGAACATACTTTGATAAGCATCTTGACTTAATGTGCAAACTAGATATTCATTTATGCCTTCCCTTATACACTGCAGACTCAACTAGAAAAAAGTCCCAAAGCTCAACGGTACAGTTACTGTAATGTAATATCCTGCTTAACCAGGGCCTGTTGTCATTTAATGGCTCTAGATGGACTGTTATTCTCATTCACAATGAGGAATAATGTGTATAGCTAGTGTTTAGAAGTTAGACTTCCCTGTAGAGTGGTTGTGATCTCTGGGCCAAGAATGTACACGAGGGGCACGTGATTGTGCATTGGAGTAGAAATAAGATTCTGCATGTCAGATGACCTACAGTAACCCATCCTGCCCTTTTAAAACAAATGTTCTGAATGGTACGCCAACCAAGCAGCCCTAAAATAGCATATACACCTCTCAGCAGTGCTTGTAAAAAGTGCCTGTTTTATTATTTATTTCAGCCTGTTGACAAACAGAAATAGTTTATTTTAGCCTGTAGAACAAAAAGGACTGGCAGGAGAAATCCTCCGATAACACAGTCCTAAATCTTGAAAAAGAATTCTTCTGATTTGCAAAAAAAAAAGCCTAATAATATTACCTAATTTGATGATGCTGAGCACAAAAATTTCAGTCAAAATTTCCATCATGTGCAGTGTTTTTTGTTCCAGAAAATGATGATTGTTCAAATAATAATCAGCTAGAATGCACTTTAAAGCAAATGTAGTTTTGTGTGTGTGGTTTTTTTTTTTCCCGAGGAACTTCATACCCACTCATCTAGAACAGACGTTTGTGGGAAAGTGATAAACAAACATAAGTATATGCCATCAGAATGATTTTAAGACTAATATTAGGTAAAACAAACAAAACAAAAACATACAGTTGCTTAAAATAACAAAAGCAGTCAAATGTCAATATTTTGGTTTTAATGACAAAAAGGTGTTATCAAAATGCATAATTTAACTTACAATCTGACAAAGAGTGGGGAAATATGTTCAATTGCTCCATTTAATGAATTTCCCATAAGGTTTTCTCCCCACAAAATCTGTAATTTTCTGTTGCTGTTCGTA